TTTTTTTTTTTTTTTTTTTTTTACAGGAATGTTAACAATTACAGATTTCATTAACATCCTGCATAGATACTATAAGTCTCCAATGGTGAGTTGCCCTATCAAGCCATAGTGGTATTGACAGTGGTAATATAAATAAATTGAAATGAAAAGCATTGAGGATTACATAATATTTGCGAAGTCTTCTGAAGCTTTGTTTGCTAGAGAAATATTTTATTGCATTTCTGTGGTGCATAACACAGTGAGGTCTTGATTTTGAACTCTGGGCCCTATTCTGGTACTATTATTACTACCTGGTTTTTGGAGTGAAAGGTCTGGCTAACACATGGACTGACTCCATGTGAAACTAGCTGTAGCAAAAAAAAAACTCAAGAAAAAGTATTTAGTCATGGTCCAATTTTTTAATTGCTCATTTTATTTCAAAATATATGATTTGCATGTAATTGGCTTCATGTATAAATAACATCGAGTTGATTTTTCCCTCACTTAAGACTGAACAGTAGTTTTAAAACTTTACAAAATTTTAAGAAATGAAAAATTTCTTTAAAAAATCTTAATGGTGAAATCCATTCACTTGCCAATACACAGGAATTCTTTTCAGCTCATGGCTATTTTGCAGAGCTTGGCGAATATGCTAAAAGGACCATGCACACTGAAGGACTCAGTAAGTGAGTTTTTCATTTATCTAATATAGCTTATACAGTAGATGTCATAAGTGGGTCAAATCCATTCTTTTGAGTAGTACCTAGTTTGTTAATTTGGCCACTGTACGTGAAATAGCCAGTTCTGGGCATTCCTTTTGACTGCAAGCAGTATTTTAACATCCTGGTTAATACTAGTTTTAAAATTTCCCCTTCACTTACACATGTACGTATACATGCAGGCATGTGATTTTTTTGTTGCTGTCAAGTTCCGATTCCCTATGACAGTGATTTGTTTAAAATTGACGCCAGCATTTTTAACTTGTTCTAAAAGCTTCTTGTGAGAAATTGTAAGCTCATCTGAGGCATTTTATTTATTGCTCATAAGCAGTTGGAAACATACAAACTGCTGCCACCGTATTAAGTAACTGACCACTAGAGTTTTTTCTTGATGCATTATAATAGAAGAGGCAGTTAATGAATTACTACACGCTGAGAAATTTTCCATACAGTGAGTCCATATTGTAATACTCAATCTTAGCCTTCAGGTACACTTAACCTTTTACATAGTATTATGAGGGCCAAACCTTTATTCATAGTACATCATTTCACAGATAGTCTTACAGACAGGCCTTAGGATGGGGTTCATTGCAGAGGAAGAGAGCTAACTGAATAAAGATGAAAAAATGTGAGCATAGAAGGCTATTACAGCCTGTTCATGGGCTGGGACTGGCCTGTGTAAAGAGTAAGAGGTCTCTGTTTGTTTTACCATTGTGGTGTCACGTTCCACCGAAACTAAAGTTGTGTTTCAGTGATAGTTTTCATTGAAATGCCAGTAAAATGGATAATGTCCTGTAAAACTAGATTTTGAAACCTTCACTTCTGATTATTTGGGTGTATTTGCAAGGAATGCCATTAATTTCAGTGGGAGTATTCATGTAGTAAGTTACTATTTGACTAAGTATTAAAGAATATGCCCCCTGTTGAATTGTTTTTTATTGCATAGTAGCTTAATGCTATTATAAATGGAGTATTTTAAAAAACTGTGAATTATGTCAGTTTTATGAAGGTAGAGTCACTTCACTGTTTGATTTGCACTTTGAACTTTTTAAAATCATTGTGGTTATATATGCTTTTAGGGGCAATAAAAATCAGCTGTTTTATTGTGTTTAATGCCATAAGTTGCATACATCCAACTCGTTCACGGATATTTTTCTTGAGTACAACTACTTTAGGAAAAGAATTCTTACTGCATTTTTTAGAAGTTTTCAGTGAGCTGATATAGACAGTGTGTCTATTACTGTTACTTAAAGATCACCTTTAAAGGTTTTTCTAAAGTACTTACTTGGCTTGTGTCTGTCTTTTGATAATATACTGAGTGATTGTAGTGTATTTTATCTGCCTTTAAATGGTTGTGAAAAAATGTTTTCCACTCCCATGTATTAGTGCCATAAAGTAAGTTCTGTTCTTGACTGGGCTATTCTGTCTCAAGAATTATCACCAACCAAAATTCTTTACTTTATGCTGTTGTCTACCTGCAGTGCAATATAAAGTGCTATCCTGATCTCAATCATTTCTGTTAAACCCCAAATTCTTATGGGCAAGACAGAAAAAATGTTCTAAGCATGTTAAAATTTCATTTATCTGCAGGTTCAGATCTATGAATTGGAGGAACACAAAATTGAAACATGGAGGGGTAAGAACACTTATTTACTGAAGTCTGCTAAGGAAACCTACAATTGTTTCTGGAAAAGAAATTCTTGATCCTACACACTACCTAACTCTTGCTAAAGTGGTGCAATGAAAGCAGGATATCTAGAGAGTTTGTCTATTTGCTGTTGGTGCTTGTGCTTTTCTTGGGGACAGGGGTTCCACTTGAAATAATGATCCTGTGGGTGGTGAACTGAAAAGAACCTATATTCAGACAGGCCTTGACAGTAGTTGGGATCCTTTTTATTGCATACTTCAAGATCAGTCTTCCTTTACAAGCTCTATTTTTTTTTTTAATTTGGTAACAACATCCTAAGCTATAATTACATGTGGTATGAAGTCATGAAGGACTTATTTTCATGCATCTTGAGGAACTCTTAAATATAAACTCTTTCCAGATCCAGGGCTTTTTTTTAAATAAAGTTCTCCAGTTGATTTCAATATACCGTGTAGAATGTTACAGTTGACTCTGGTCTTTTCTTTGTCATTCCCTATATCGTAGTTTTCACTGTAAAAATTTCAAAATTATATATGTTTTTTGCAGTACTGGTGTTGGGTTGATTTTGGGGTTAGACATTCCTGTTTTAAATATTGTACTTGGTTGCTGATTTTTGTTGTCCATATATGCTTAGTCTCTAACATTCAGTTTCTAATACTATTATAAAAAATAGGGATGTTTATATACTGAAATGTTGTTAGACTGCTCTGTGGCTGACTTTATATTTGGGCACAGCTAAACTTCCTGGACAAATTCTAGCTGTGTGTAGGAATGACTCTAGATTCTGGTGTGTCAAGCAAATCTAAGTCCTCAGAGTGAAAGGAGTATTTTTCCTCAAGTAAGAGGTACTTCATCTACAGAAACCTTTCTTAAGACAAGGTGTAAGAAATCTTATTGCTGTGTTCCACAGAGATACCACAGCCTGAATCAGGTACTGAGGGAGCATGATATGAAACTTCCCACCTTGCAGCAACATACTAATCCAAGGGGAAAAGAAATCCAAGAAAGCTGACTGTACTTTAAGGATGCTGTATGAAAAGCATAGGAGCAAGTTATCCTGCTGAGATGGAAGAATAGGAAGTGCGACAGGAGACCAGTCTGGCTAGATGGATCTCCGCAGGGAGACTCAAAAAGGACTCCTACAAACAGTGGAAACTTGGTCATATTTCTAGAGAAGAGTATAAGAGTATCACACACATGTATAAGGAGAAAATCAGGAAGGCCAAGGCATGGTTTTAGATTCAACTGAGAAGGGGCATAAAGCAATAAAAGGGGATTGTTCAAGCATGTCAAAAAGAAGAGGAAGACCGAGGAAACTTACGGAACACAGAAGACAATCAAGTTATGGATAATACAGAGACGGCTTGAAGTATTTAATGCCTTTTTTACTTAATTCTTCACAAATAAGGTCAGCTACCAGATGATGAGCAGAGCTGGCAAGAAAGATAAGGAGACAAAAAGCCTAGAGTGGTGGCAGAACAGGTTAGGTGTTACTTACAGAAGCTAGATGCTTTCAGGTTGGGAGGCCCAGATGGGGTACTTCCTAGTGTACTGAAGGAATTGCCTGAGGTAGTTTGAGTCATCGAGTATCCTGTTTAAGAACTGGGGGAGGTTGGGTGAGGTCCTGGATGATTGAAAAGGGGTGATATAGTACCCTGTATTGCTGGCTTAGCATGCTTCAGTGGTTCTCAGTTGGGGTGCTGCCATCATCAAAGATGGGTAGAGCTGCCCTAAGGACCTTGTGCACATCCAGATTGGGATGGATTGTAGCACACCTGTGCGCTCCTGCCTTCATCAGGGTTATCTGATAAACCTAAAGGGAAAAGGAGCACTCAGTCTTGCCAGTTGTCTCATACCATGTGCCTCTGTTTCTGGGAAAGGCCATGTAGTATCAGACTGTGAAAGGTGGTGGCAGAACCTGGGTGCTCCTCCCTGTTTTAGAGTTATCAGATAACCCTAATGCAGGCATAGTAGCAACATTGAGGAATTCTGTAAAGGGCTTAAAATCATCATCCATATGGCCTGTGTTGAATCCATTGGCTATGCCACCCATTGACACCAAGACTGGTTTGATGAGAGCAACACTGAGATCCAGGTCCTCCTCAACCAGAAGAGAAGGGCTCATTCTGCTTGGCAAAATGACATTTCATCTCAGCAGAAGACGACATATCAGCTCAAAGCCAAAGCTCAAAGGACAATCTGGGAAATCAAAAGTCATTGGCAAGATAAATCCAAGGAGCTCTAGTTCTATGCTGACAAAGATGACATGCATAGTTTTTTCCAGGTAATTAAAGCCATGTATGGCCCAATTTTCAATGACCCTGCTTTCCTGAAATCACAGGATTTCCTAGATTGTAAGGGCTGGAAGGGACTTAACAAGATCATCGGGTTCAGCCCCCTCTTCCCTGCACAAGGCAGGAATGACTTAGCAGTCCTCAGCAACAGTGAATCTATCTAAGCTAGATGGAAAGCACTTGGAGGCACTCCTGATCAGATGAACAGACGGTGGCTAATACCACCATTGAGTCCATCCCCCAACAACCTGAAAAGGGGATCCTTTGATAACCCTCCTATCCTGGAAGAAGTCTGGTGCGCCATCAAGAACAACAAGGCTACTGGACTGGATGACATATCTGCTGAAGTCTACGAGGCTGCTGGTGAAGAACTGGTACTGAAACGCCATGAATTTGTTCTCTGAATTTGAAACAGCAAAGAGATCCCTGGGGACCTGAGGAATGCCAATATCATAACTATCTTCAAAAAAGGAGTCTGTGCGTGGGAACTATCAAGGTACTGCCCTCCTTTCCATAGCAGGAAAAATCCTCACTTACATCTTGCTGAACTGTCTTCTACCTCTTGCCGAGGATGTCCTGCCAGAGTCTCCATGTGGTTTCAGACCATCCCACTGGACAATTGACATGATCTTTGTTGCCTCCTGGATCTATGAACAGTATTGGAAACAATATCAGGACCTGTATATGTCTTCGTGGATGTTACCATGGTCTTTGATTCCCTCAATTGTGAGGCCTTGTGAAAAGTACTGGCCAGATTTGGATGTGCTGAAAAGTACATCAAGGTTCTGAAACTTCTCTATGACCAGATGACAGTGGCCATTCTATGCAGTGGATCAGAGACAGATCCATTTGTCATCCAAACCAGGGTCAAGCAAGAATGTGTTGTTCTCCCAACTCTGTTCTCCATTTTTTTTTTTTGACAGTCATCCTGGTTGTCATTAAGGACTGCCTTCCTTCTGGAATGGATATTGACATTCATATGGCTCCTCAATCTGGGTCATTTTCTTTTGAAAACCTAAATACTCAAAATAGCCATCCTTGACCTTCAGTATGCTGATTGATGACTCTGCCATCCATGTGCACACTGAAGAAAATTGCCAGGCCATGCTGGATCCTAATCAATAGAAGCCTGTTGAACTTTGGCCCTTTCTCTTAACATTGGGAAGACTAAAGTTCTCTGTCAGCTGACTCCAGGCCATGAATGTGACCCCCCCCCCATCCCCCCCCCAAATTCC